AGTCTATAATTTATAGACTTAGATAAAGAAAACAATACCTATTGGTTTTTTCCTATATAATAGGTGACAGGTGACATATACCAATAATAGGTAGGTTTTTTGTTAACGCTAGTCAAGTTCGCCATGTACGCTTCTTTTGGAAGTATGCGAAGTATGAACACACTTTTTTACGAAAAATAACAGAGTAGACCTCCACGAAATTATTACTCAATTTTTCAAGGAATATCTTATCAACTATCAAGGATTCATTAATTATTTTATTTTTTATATGTATAAAAACCTTAAAATACTTATATATATTTAAAAAGTAATTTATGTATTATGTTCAATATTATATTTTTACAGGTTTTATGTGATGGAGATCATGATTTGGAACGTTGCCAAAAAGTCACTGAAACTGTGTTGGCTGCTGTATACAAGGCTTTGAACGATCACCATGTATACCTAGAAGGTACCATTTTGAAGCCTAACATGGTTACTCCCGGACAATCCTCAAGCAAAAAGGCAACAGCTGATGAAATTGCTAAAGCTACAGTGACTGCTCTTCAACGCACTGTCCCACCAGCGGTTCCAGGTAATTTTTTGAAAAATATACATATATAACAAAATTTTAATCAAACATGATTTAATGCTTACTTTTTTTTAAAATTTATTCTGTCATTAATAATCATTTAAATATTTAGGAATTATGTTCTTGTCTGGTGGTCAAACTGAGGAAGAAGCATCTGTAAATTTAAATGCAATTAACAAGTACAGTGGAAAGAAACCATGGGCATTGAGTTTCAGCTATGGACGTGCTCTGCAAGCTTCTGTTTTGAAGGCATGGCAAGGAAAGAAAGAGAATATCAAAACAGCACAAGATGAACTTCTCAAAAGAGCATTGGTTAGTGTTATTAGATATTATTGGTTTGATTTACTTTGTAAAATATTTATAATTGTATTTCTATTTAGGCCAACAAATTGTCAGCGTTGGGCAAATATGAAGCTGGTTCTGTACAAACTGCTGCTGGTTCTCAAGGTTTATTCGTTAAAGATCATGCTTATTAAATAACCCACTTCATGTTCTTACATATTCTTTAACATTTATATTATAGATTTTAAAGTCCGTTACCAAAATAGAAACGCTTATTATTTCAACAGCTTATTATCATGTTTTTATTATTGTGTTACAGATTTTAAAAAAAATTATATATTATACTTACTGATTTTAGTTTATTTTTGTTTACTAATTTATAATTTAAGAATATATTAGTATATGTTCGTAATTTAATGTAGTTATAAATTAAACAAATATCAGAATTAATAATAGTTGTTGGATTCAAATATTTCTAATATTTTCAAAGGTAAATATTAGATTATAATATTTAATAGTTCATATATAAACATAAAATGTATAAAATATAAAGTCAATAAATACTTTTAAATAGTAATTTTTGAAATGAATTAATACATGTTTAATGTGTTATAATCATTATTATTTACTATGCAATAACTGTAGTACAATCTTTTTAGTAAATACTATATAATAAAAAAATATTTGTAAACAAAAAAAAATTAGATTCCAAAAAATTGTATTAACGTAGTTTTGTTTAAACTAAAATATTATACATAAGACTTGTTAGGCATTAACCATATTATCTATACTTTTAAAACATTTCTTCTTATAAATAATAAAGTCATTCGAGTAGGTATAGAAAATTGTATTAGTTAATACATTTTATTATAATGAATTTTAAACAAAGTATATTATTCTAGTAGTATTTGATTAAATGTTATATGTACCTAGTTTATATTGTTTGTATAATCCATTTAAAATCATAATATACCTAGGTTAATATAGTTTTTAATAATTTTATATTTCTTATAACAGTCATATAACTACAGAATATTATGGGAGAGGGTTGGTTTGATGAAAAATTATGTTACCTGAGATATTAAGATTTTGAACAAAAGGTCAACATATTTATCTGAAAAAAATGCTAGTTATTTTGGAGGTGTGAATATTTAATCCCCCTCCAAGATCTAGACCATTTAGCATAGGTATATTAGTTACCTATTTAAATAAGAAAATAAAGTCTATACTATTGATGGGTGAAGGGCTATTGTTGTAGTTGGGAAGGTACAGTACATAAATCTTTAATTTATATTTGTAAATTACAATAAACTATTATTAATGAAAAATAATTCTGATTAGTTTTGTTATATGTTTTGATATATCGTAATTTTTACGATTTCCATCAAAAATTGAAATTAAAACAGTTATAAAAAAAATGAATAAAATAGCTTACAATTCACCAAATTAATGAGAACATATTAACAAGGCAATACATATAAATATTCTGTGAAAATTTTAGTTCTACGATACTTTTTAACCAACTCAACAAAAACCTAAAATCTGTATTTTTTTCACTTTTCCCTATTATTATAAAAACTGCCTTGAACATGAATACACGGCTTTCTTACTGACTAGATCTAAAATTTAACAAAACAGTCCTCTTGTTATTTTTTGACTAGAATGAAATTTCTAATAAAAAAGTTGTTTACAGATGCAAAAAAGACTGACTGAGATATAGAAATACCTATAACCAGTAAAGGCATGAAATATTTTATCTTGAATCGCTGATTTAATTTTATACATAAACACACACTCATCCCTATCAAAAATATCCCAGGGGAAAATCAATTAGTTTTCTTGTGAGTCTAATGAAATTTATCAAATTCTTTCAATGACTATTGACTTGTTTTGTAAAAACTTTATTTTTGTACACCTGTTTTTTTGTGAATCACTTGATTCAAATATACTTCCTCCGCGCCACCACTGATGACTGAGTTTTATATGTTATACGATAAATAGAAATTGTACATATTTTTTTTTAATTTCACAAAATGTCCAGAACGGTGGTGGAGCCATAGATATGAATTAAGATTTAACCAGAGATGAGTAAGATATTTGAAAAAGTATCTAGATACAAGATACTAGATACATTAATATTCACTTCTAGATACAAGATACATTCCACATTTTTCAAAAGATACTAGATATTACTTTTTACTCCCCTTTGGACACAAGGTACTAAATACTGTATCTAAAATAAAAGATACATTAATAATAATAAAACTTATGGTATGATTGCCTATGATGTCAGGTTTAAACTTTATTTATAATAAAATTAAAAAAAAAAAAAATTATTATTAAATAAAATATGAGTAACAGAATGTATAACAGCAAAGATGACAAATTATAATTACCATAAATAACCTATCCAAAGTAAA